GCTTCCAGACTGGGCCCTCTCTGTGTGCCCTCGCTCTCTGCCCGGTCAGCACAGCCCAGCGGCTCCTGCTGTGTCTCGGCCTTCTGACAGTGGGCGGCTGCACTGGGAGTGCTGGGAGAGCTGGGGCTCCCTGCAGTTGGTAACGAGTCCTCTGGTCCAGCCGCCGCCCCCTCTGTGGACAGCTGGAGCCTCAGCTGCAGGCTCCTGTTCTTTCTCTCCTTGGCTGCCAGTTCGCTCAGCAGGTCGTCGAAGGTGTGCTCCACGTACTGCCTGACTTCGCTCGCAGCGGCCTGCAGCACGTGGTCCAACACCACCTGCAGCTGGGCTGGAAGAAAGGGGATTCCCACTGTGAGTCTCTGCTCAGTCCAGTCAAGACAGGTGGCACCGCTTTACACACACAGTGGTGGGGGTGTGGAACACGCTGCCCAGCCATGTTGTTGAGGCTGACACCTTGACTTCTTTCAAGAAACCGCCAAGATCAAAGAGCTGCCAACTATGAAAAGGATTGGAGGGGCTGAATGACCTCCAGTTTGCAACCTGTCTTATGTTCTTATGTTCCTAAAGGGCTGCTAAACGTTTCTGCATTTCTCAAGCTCTTCTTCCGAGGGAGATGAATTTGAACCTGCAGTATCAATCCACCATATCGCAGCCCCGACCACTGGCTGAGATAATAGGAATGATGTCAAGAGTCTCCACCTGACCCCTACTCAAGTCAAGAGCTGGCTCAAATAACTAAAATCAGCTTGATGGGTTAAACGCGTTAAGTGCTGGAATTATTCTCAAGTACCTCAAAACCGCTGGGACTTGGGTTTGGCCACCAAGCCTCCTGAGTAAAACACAGGGGTACTTCAATACTCTGTATTGGGGGCAAGGTATTTAAGTAATTTTACAAACAATAATCACCCCAAGGTATTTATACTAATTGACTGTTTCAATACCCATTCCATTCACAGTTAACAGGGGTCATAGGAATAGACCAGTTCCTTCTGAAATCAAAGATCATTTCCTTCGTTTTGTTTGTGTTTAAAACAGTGACTTATCCTGACACCAGTTACAAAAGAAATATTTATCTCCTGCTTGTAATTGGATTTTTCCATCATTCACAAGTTCAATCGAGGCAACATCATCAGAACACTTTGTAATTGAACAGCTGTCGAAGTGGCTTACTCAATCACTGGTGTACAGTGTGAAAAGCAGTGGGCACCGCTGGTTCTGATGGTGGGAGACTTCCCCGAGCTCACTCGCTCATACCGCCGCCGATCAGTAAGAAAAGTCTACAGGTATATCCGCCGAGTTAGTGTACTCCCATATCCAAAAGCTTCCCTACTCACCTGTTTGCCTGAATAGTGTAAACCGCCGACAAAAAAATTAGCAAAATGTATACGCGCATAGGATGATGGAGTTACTCAATGCGAAGTGCACCGATTTGCCGAATAAAAGTGGTACAAAACTATTCATTCAAACCATTTCATTGCGACTGAAGTTAGTGCTACTGGAGACGGAAATCTTTTCATTCAACAGGTTTTGCTGTTTTAGGCGTAGCTACAATTGTGGATGTTTTCCACAAGCTCGGAACTGTAAATGTGTCCCGAGACTGTGTGCGGGTGTCAGTGCGGTGTCGTGGAGAAAGAGCCCCTCACCCAGCACCCGGGCTCTCTGCTCCTGTCTCTCCGTGTCTGGGGGCTTGGGGCGCTCACAGCCCGACGAGGAGGAGGATGGCGGCGATGAAGGCGATGCCGTCTTGCTGGGGGCCGCTGCGCTCTCGGTCTCCCCAGCCCGGGTCGCAGGAGGCGCCTGTCCGGGGCGGCAGGTCTGCATTCGCCGCCTCAGTCCGCGGTTCTCCTGCTCCGTGCTGGCGATGAGGAGCAGCAGGGCGCCCAGGCTGTGTCCCACACTGTCCGTGATCTGCCTCACCGCCGCCTGCACCACCCGCTCCAGCACCGACTTCAGCTGGCCCTGGAAGAAGGACAGATACAGCGCCTCGGCCATGCTCTCCGCGGTTCCCCGGAGTTTATCGGGTTCCTCTCCTCGCCTCTCACTCGGCTCCGCTGGTCGCGTCACCCCCCTGCCTCTCGCACGGTCCGGGCATGGCGCATCTTTCTCCACGACCAGAGACAAGCGAGCACTCCACTCACAGCTCGGTGCGAACGGACTTTATATTTTCTCTCAACGTTAATGTATTACAATATATTATATCTTTCAGCTTTAATATATTACTCCTCCCAGACTTTGACAGACACCCAGCCGGTGAGGAGAGCTGAAATGGACTATCTAAGGGTAACAGGTAAACATCTGCACAGCAATTTCTAATTCTCACTCCGGCACCCATCTCATAAGGTTCATTTTGACGTAGCCAAGCAAAGCGACACTAGGTTTCCACTACGAGCCTCATGTTTCCCGACCAGGTTTGTTTTTATTCCGTGTCCGACGCGGGGGTTCGAACAGCGCCCCTGCTGGCGAGGAGGATTAACTCCAACAACGTCCTTCTGCCCGGCTTCAGTCTGCTGCACCCCATGTCGTTAAAATTAATACATTCCTTGAGTTTCTACAGCGGTTTACTGTCATGGAGTGACAAAATACGGATCAAGGGCTCTGCTTGCTTGCGGTTTTACATACAATGGCCCGTGTTTTGTCAGGTTTGTCCCGGTTCCTTCTGATTTTCAGGTCTGCCTCTCTAGCACAAACAGTACAGCAGTGGACAACCCCGACAGACAGAGGGACACCCTGTTGGCTCAGAGACCTGTCACTGACCGCACAGATAGAGGAGACACGTTAGATCACGGGGGGGCTGAGCAGACTGGGAGCTGAGGGACGAAGAGAAGAGATACGGGAGAGGAGCAGGAAGGAGAGACAGCGCACTGTGATACATCCAGCTCCGCATTCATTTTCATTCGCCGCTTCTTCAATTCAGGGTCACGGTGGCCCGGAGAGAGCAGGCGAGCGAAGGGGGGGGCTGGCGATGGACTAACGCTACAGACTTCCTGTTGCTCCCCCAGGGAACATGGGGCTGTAACAGGCCTGAGCCGGGGTCAGGACTGATGGCACCCCCTGTGTCACCTGGACAGGACATGGTGTGTTCTGGTCTGGCAAGACAGAGTTGTCCCCAGTTGTCACCTGTGTGTGCTAGGGACCCCCAAGCAATTTCTCAACTGTAAAACGCATGAGATCGTTTTTGAAAAACACATGACATGGAAGCCCTTGCATTTTGTAGTAATTTGCTCAACATTCCTGTTCACACTGTCACCTGGAGATCTACAG